TTTCCGGGACGTGGCCATCACATTTGTCAGATCTGGAAGGGAGGGGTCGGAGGGCTTGAGTCTCGGCTCACCTCTCATCTGTTGATATGTGGAACTTGCTCATGGAATTTCAGAGTTGGAGTAAAGCTGGTAAGATCACGTGGAAGTGACAGTGTAGGCAGTAAGTCCAGTGAGAGGGGAGAGAGCTAGGGAGCCAGGGGCCACCAGGAGCTCATAAGGTGCTGCACACACACACACACACACACACACACACACACACACACACACACACACCACGACCTCAAGACACTTGCAGGGGGTTGATAACTCTGAAAGGGATTTAACTTGTTCCTTTCTTATAAGCAGCTTAATGACATGCTTGTGTACCCACGCAGGAGGTGGCCAGGCTGGAGCAAAACCAAAATGCTCTCCCATGAATTCCCCTTCCCTGGGAGAAAGGGTTTGGGAAGTTTCACAGGCCCGAATTCAAGTTCTATCCCTCTCATGGGATACCTTGAGAGTTACCTTGGGCAGGTCTCTTTCCATATCTACAAACAAGGGAGTAACCCTGGCCTTCCCAGGGACTTGGAAATGTCTGTCCCCAACATCCTTTGCAAATCGTCACTGGACTCAAAGGAATAAAACAATAGCTGTAAGGATTGTGCGAGTACAAGAACTATGTGAGCTGCCCCTAGCAAGGTGGACAGACCCTGGCTTTAGGTCTTGTGAAGCTACTCTGTGTGAGACACCCCAGTAAGAATACAAAGCTGACATCCACCTCTCGGGCCAGGGTGAGGGTCACACAAAACTGCAGGCATCAGTCTTGGAACAGAGGCTTCTCCTCCTGCTCTGCCCTTGGCCTAGATAAAGGAGCCTTGGAGCATCTTAAATTCTTACTGTTGAACTTGGGCTCTATTCTGGAACATTCTGTGTCATATACACTTGTCACAGAAAAGGTAAATTTAATTAGTTTTCTTTGAAAAAATTTGTTTTGAAAATTCTGTGTCTGTCTTCTGATGATGAAAGTCATTGGTCTTCATGGTTTTTTTTTTTTATTTTAATTACCATGTCTATGACCAGATGGCCTAGTCCTGGATTAAAGGCCTGGATGGTGTAGGGATGCCAAATGCTACACGTTTTTTTTTTTTTTTTTGATATCCATATTTAGAAATATACACCCAGACATGCACACGTACCCCAATTGTGCTTGCACGCACACACACATTCACAGAAGCACGCACATGTTCCCTCTTTGCGTGCGTGCCCACACCCACTACCTATGGGCCAGACCCTGCCCTGGAACTGTTTCTTGCTCCTGTTTATTTTCCATTTCCCCTTGTATTTGTCATTGTTCTGACATGGGAGCTAGGCTGGAGGCAGGAAGAAACAACTTCTGGTAACGACTCCTCACAGAGAATGCTTATGACTCTAGCTCACCAACCCTGGAAAGAGATCTGTGTGTGGGTCCTGGGGGAGGGGTCAGAGTGAGCCTTTCCTAAGGAGACAGCCTGAAGAGAAATAAGCAGTGAGAGGTGGTTATGAGCCGGTCATGGCTGTCTGGAGGAAAGGTGCCGTGGAGGAAGGGATGGCGTGGGAATGCTATCAGCAGGGGTCTGTAGCTCTCCTTTTTGGGGCCTGAGCCTTTGAAACACATGTTTGAGATTCTCCTGTTCTGAGGGGCACGCAGAAAGGAAGGAGAGTTGGGGAGTTATGGGCAGGGGGGATGCCCCAGAGGGGCAGAGAATTAGGGAGATGTTGATGAGGTGCAGGATCCCACTGGAGGAAGTGAGTTAGGGAAGCCCATCTCCTCCCTCCCTTGACAGCATCCTCCTCCCTCCCATCAGCCCCCCACCTCTCTCTCTCTCTCTCAGGAGTACTCTCACCAGGCTCCAACGGCAGACAAGTTCCATTCGAGTAGCAAACTTCGGCTATGCTGTAAGTCGTCTCCATGTCCAGCAGGATCTGGTTGTACTGCAAGGGGGGAGAAAGAGTAGTGAAATAACCCCCCCCATTTTGCTCTGGCCTCAGGTGCCATGGATGGGACTCAAGGGAGCATGTGCCCCAAAATGCTGCAGTCATGGGAATTCTGGAGATGTGTGGACATGGCCCACGTCAAGAAAGTAGCAATGGGGGCAGACCCATGATCTGGTTCACTTCCCAGCAGTCTCCACTCCCTGCTCCCCACGGCCACACACCTCTTCCAGCTCCTTGGAGGGCAACACTGCCCGGTCCATGTTCTGAACCTTCCTTATGATTCGCTTGGTGGTAGAGTTCTGGAAGTTGTTCACATCAAACTTCTTGGCCAAGGTGCCATATTTCAGGGTGTAGTTGGCCACCTTCTTATTTTTCTGAAGCTGAGGGCACAAGGGGGGTGGTGTCACAGGCTCAGGAGATTTGGCATGGCCTCTGTGTAGGAGGTTCCATAAAGGTAGTGTTGAGGAGTGTGGTTTGATTAGGCCGATCCCTTTGCCCATACAAACGCCCTCCTCTTCCGCCTGGGTCACCTGCTAATGTCCTGGGTAAAGCATATGTTCCTCAACAGATAGCTGCAGGCTAGCAATATATATCCTGATAGAGTAGGGAAAGGGAGACCAGCCATCCCATAATGTCATTAGGATGAAGGCAGGGTGCTATTAGATAGGAGACACCCCACTCCACCCCCCCAAGCATTCAGGGGTTGCATCTTTGAAGTAGGAAGAATATCACTTTGTATAACTGCCAAAGGATGTACGCAGGAAGAGAAGTTGAGGTGCTAAGGACCCATGGGCAGCACCCAGTGGGTCTTCAAGTAACATTAGCACCCTATGAGTTAGGGTTAGAGCACATGGCCAGAACTGGCTTCCTGTGCTATAATGTACACTCATAGAGGAAGGAACAGGGTGCAGGGGAATGATCCCTCACAGTGCTGACAAACGGGCTGTCAATCTTTTAAAGAGGGATGCTGCTGCCATTGCTTATTTATGTACAACGGATTTCAGTCTCTGGGAATGGTGACTGAGAATGGTATCAGACTAGAGAAATTTGCTCAGGTGGGGACCCAAAGCCACTAAATCCTAAATAGAGTGTTTTAAACATTCTGTTCAGACTTTTCACCAATTTTGGCAGCTTGGTGCTCTCTCTCTCTCTCTCTCTCTCTCTCTCTCTCTCTCTCTCTCTGTGTGTGTGTGTGTGTGTTCTGGGAGTGTGGCTGTGTCTGTGCACATGCTACATGTTGGAGTTGGTGAAGTGGTTCCTACCAGGATCTTGCTGGCCTCTAGGGTAATGTTGGTGTTATAGTGCCAGTTGGCTTCTGCATACTCGTTCCACAACACCTGGGCTGTCCGGTCATACTCCTCCACGAACCTGTTAGCCTCCTCTTCATCAGTCACTAGGTCTGTAGGAGGTGAGGAGGAAAATAGACAGGCCTTGCCTTCCTTGCCACAAAGTGTGGTTTCACTGGAGTCCCCTCTTGTTGTCCCCGGGCTGCTTGACCCCTCGTGGCCCTGCCCTTTTCCAAGAGTCCCACTTGGGTTCTGGGTTGTCTGGATGGTTGTCTGGAGAGTTGCTGTCTGGCTTCGGGTTGTCGGCTGGTTTGTTATCTCCTGGCTGGCTGTCACGTGGTCAGTGGCCACCTGACTGAGGACCAGCAGGGGGTTCCCGTAGCAGAGCAGCAGAAAGAGGAAGCTGGGCAGTCCTGGAGTAGCCCAACCTTGGCCCATGGCCGCGGGAGAGCAGAGCCCTGCAGGCCCCACCACTGGCCAATAAGGGCTGAGTCCGCAGTGTGACCTCATAGAGCAATGTGCCAGCAAGACTGACCCCAGGGGCCCTCGGGCTTGGGCACAGCATCTCTAGGACGCTGGGAGAAAGACATGCCCATCTTTGCTGTAGGGCCCTGGTGATGAGCCCAGGGGTGGGCTGGCATTGCGGCATAGGATACCAGGGCTCAGCTGGAAGGAGCTGACCAGGAACCTGAGGTTTGGGCCCAGGGGCCAGGACTCCTCTTGGTCCCCCCGCCCACCCTCACTTAGGGCTTTACCAATGTTCTCTGGATAGTGGTCAGGTAACGGTGGGCGCCACTGATACTCTGGCCAGCCTAGGACTTCGCCATTCCGCTGATTCTGCTCCTGCAGCCACCGACTGACCGGTTGGAAGTACTCCAGCAGTGCCTGGGCATCCAGGGCATCTGAGCCCACCATATCCTTCAGTACCTCCTGCCAGGGCCTGGAGCCGCCAGCCCGCAGCACCTGCCTGCCAAGGAGAGCGAGCACTATAGGTGTGGGGAACCCAGGCTGGGGTCCGCAACAGTGCTGCTGACCATCTGTCCTCCAGTAGTAAGAGAACTCTAGGGCCAGGGTCTCTGTGAGAGTGGTAGGGGACATTCGCCTGGCCCCATGGCAGCTGAAGGCCAGCTCAATAAATATTTGATATAAAGAAGAGAAAGGGGGAAGAGGGAGGGAGAGAGCTGGGGGAGGGGAGGAAAGAGTTACTCCAGAGCGGTACAGCTTTGTGCTGTCCCAACCAGAACAGTCAGCTACCTGCAGAAATACTGTTCGCCAGCCTCCCCTCAGCCTCAGGCTTTTTTTCCCTTTCTGCCACATACCCGAGCTTGGCCCCAGCCTGGGTAGACTGGTAGATGTCACACTGGTGTAGTGGGCCCTGGTGGCCTGCCTCCTTGCACAGGGCTTGATGGAACTGGAACTGTAGAATGAAGCTCACAAAATACCTGTAGGGACAGAGCAGGTGCTAGGGGGACTGTGGAGAGCGAGACAGAAGCCCCTCGTTCAGGCTCTGTCCTGTGTTTGGCAGGGCGACAGCCGGACTAAGGGCTAGCAGTAGGAAGAAGGGGGAAAAAAAAACTGAGCGTAGCCCAGGAGAAAGGGTGATTCTAATTCTCAGCCCTTGGACCTGAGGGATGACGGAGCGGGGAGGAACACCCAGCCCTGGTACCTGATATACGGTGCCACATTTGGGATATGAAACTTGGCTCCGGCATCAAAATGGGTTTCGTTCCGGACAACTGGAGGGCAGATCCCCTGATACTTGGTTCTAGAAGGGGATGTGTAAAATCTTAAGGCTCTAGGGACGCACAGGCTGCTTGAGATTTGCAGAAGAGGTACTGATTCCATCGTAGCCCACCTCTTCACCCCACCCCCACCTCCACCCCACCCCGCAGCATCCCTTCTACATCCTGGAAGATGGGGAAACTTCCTGGAGGTAAGGTCTCAGCAGGAAGGGAGGAGGCAGTGGGTGGGTGGGGGCAGACATTGTTAAAAAGGAGGGGACAAGACCGGTGGAGGCTGGGGGGTCCCCTGGGTTAGGCTTTTCCTATCTCTCTTCTCACCTAAGATACCACCAGTCAAAATTGTAGCGGGAGGGTGAGATATGTCCACTGAAGACCCCCCAGCGCCACTGGTCCACCAAGTAGCCGAAGGGCAAGAAAGCAATTTTCTCTAGGGCCATCTTGAGCAAGTAATTGATGTCACTTTCTGTCCAGAAACAAGAAGACAGGGAAGGAAGGGGAAGGAAAGAGATTGGCTAGGGTAGAGTGGACCTGGGGGAGGGGAGGGCCACCCAGCAAGGAGGGGAGGCTGGACAGACAGAGGTGAGCCCCCAGTCCTTAGCTCTACGTGGACACGGACTCGGGGTGAGTGCCAAGTTCAGGGTGTATCTGGGGGCCTCAAGTTAAAAATGACAAGGTGGTGTGGGGGGACAGTAGAGATCTGCTATGGTAGAAAATTTGAATGGCTCGGGCTGGATCCTCTCCTGTCCCCAGCCCATACCCATGTCATTGGCATCATGGTCCAGCAAGCCGATCTTGTGCAGATGTGTAGGAGTGGAGACAGACAGTGCCAGCACGTCCCCGATGGCCTCATGGAAGCCGGGGTTGGCACCTCTGCGCAGGGGGAGAGTCAGGTTCTTGTACTGTAGGTAGTACTGCACGTGGCCCATCTCGTGGTGCACCGTGGACAGCTGCTCCATCGTGACCCGTGTGCACTGCTTGATCCTGGGGCATGGGCAGGATGAGGACGAAGGTGAAGGAGAGGGCCGGGGCCAGAGCACTGGGGAGGCCGGGACTGGAGGAACACAGGGTTCAGGAGGACTCTGTCCTGGGGTGAGGAGTACTTAGACACTAGCAACCCTTTGGCCCTAGCCTGGCCTACCACCACTCAGGCCCTCCTCCATTCCAGGGTACCCAGCTGATTGCTTCTCCAAGCTTCAGGGATGGTGAGCTAATGGGATGATGTGCCCTACAGCCCTGGAGTAGAACAGTCCTCCAGTACAGAGGCAGGTCTGAGTCACAGCGGCCTCCTCCTTGGAGCCCCCCACCACACACACACACACACACACACACACACACACACACACACACACTCCTCTTCCCAGGTCTAGACCTGAAGTCCTTTCTGTTGTAGAAGTCCCAGGCTGAGGCATGGCACACCACCTCCCGCCCATCACTTGGCTTCTCCAGCATCGACTCTGCCCAGAACTCAGGAGGCATTGGTGAGAGCCCCAGCGAGGTGAAGAATTCCTCTGCTACCCGGAACATGTGTGTAGCATTCCAGCCCTGGGCAGGAGGTAGGGAAACAGGTCGGGGGGCCAGCCACGTGGGAGCCCCTGGGACCTGCCTTGAGGGCAGGGCTTAGTGATCTCCACCCAGGATAGCTTCTGGCCCAGGAAAGATACCCGAGGCTCAGTGGCCTCACTTCCCAGAGGTAGGGCACTACTGACCACGGCAGATCACTCTGCCACAGGCTGAGACCCAAGGTCGCTGTTGACTGTTGTAGAAAAGGGGAGGGGTCACGCCTATCACATGACCCTTCCTACCCTTCTCCCCATCTCGTTGCCTTACCTGAAGCCTGACTCCAGAGCTTACCTTCTCCACCATTGTACTGGTGACATCGAGGTTGGGTTTATCGGGGAAAGGCACCACCATGTCATACATGTTGTCCCAGCTCTGGGCCCACATGTCTCCTAAATGGAAGAAGCGAATGGGACAACCTGGGCTCCTGCCCAGCCATGCCAATTCCCCATATATGTTACCCTGGGTGGGTGCCAGCACCTGTACCATGGGACCATAGGACAGCTCTCCTGACTGTCTCTAGGCTCCACAGGACTGGTTACTGGTTAGTGGTGTCTTATCTGAATAAACCAGGATCCTTTGCCAAGGGGCCACAAGTTTCCAGGCCTCCAGGCTTGTGTCCTCGGATGTGATCTACAAGTAGGCTGCCTCTTCCCTGAACCCGCAGCCAATGCCATTGGCTTGACCCCCTAGCTCCACCCCATTCTAGTTCTCTGTCGGCTCTAAGTTCCTGACCTCCCCTAAGCCTTGGTGTCCCCACAAAGGCTGCTGGGGACATTGAGCCACAGGGGCTTCTGCATAAGGAAACAAAGGTCATGACATTCCACACATTGGAGGCTTCATGAGGACGGACCATCTTCCCTCTGCTGGGCATCCTCCTGCACCCCAAGTCCCCCTAGGCAGCGAGGTCCAGGTCCTTACCCAGCAGATGAGCAGGAATAGGCCCCCTGAGGTTGACATATTTGTCCCCATAGCGTCGATGCAGTGCGCGGCGGACGTAGGCATGGAGGTTCAGGTAGAGGGGCTCTAGTTGATGGTAGATGTGCTCCAGAGTCTCCACAAAGGAGGGGGAGTCATACAAGGAGCGCCAGTAAGCTCCCGTGTCCGAGAAGCCTAACAGAGTGGGAGAGAGCAGGTCAGGCCCAGGGCTTTGGTCCTCCACATCCTAGTTTTAACTCTGCTATCGTCCTGACTCCAAGCATTGGCTTAAGATCGATGCTCAAATTGGCCTTGACTGAACTCAAGATCCTCCTGCCCCAGTCTCTTGAGTTCTGGGATTACAGTTGTGTGTGACACCCTCCCATCTTTTAGGCATCTATAGCCCAGGCTGGCTTCAAACTCCTCACCCTCCTACTTCAGCCTTTCAAGTACTGGGATTACAGGCCTGGCTCACCATATCAAGGTCTATAATTTCTAAGTAGATGCTACTCTAGCCTCTAGCAAAATAGGTCCCTGAGCACAAAGCTGCAGAGTCTTAGGGCTGGGAGCACTGCCACAAATGGCACCAGGAACAGCAGTAAGAAGGACAGGACAGCAAGGTACTTTGGCTATAGATTTCATGCCATTCCCACTAGCTCTGAGACCCCCTGGGTCAGCCCTGGAGCCACCATACTGGCTGCTTTGTCTGGCTCAGGGACTTGAGGCTCTGGGGACAGCAGACAAGAGCGTCTTATAAGCTAGGAAAGAAAGGCTTGCTGTCCACGGAGTGGAAGAAGATCCAAGCTCACCGTCTCCTTTGTAGGCTTCGTTGCTGAGGATGGTGAAGTCTTCATAGAGGGGTTTCAGTGGGATGCCCACAACATCATGCCAGCTCTCCCAGGCGAACAGCAGCTTGGCATAACTTCGTGAGGAAGCCATAATGGTGTTGAGCTCTGAGACAGGTGAGCAGGGTGAGTGAGGAAACATCTGTGAGTCAGTCCTAACAGGCGTCACCAGAGGTGCACACTGGTCTTGACCATTCCCACCAGCTTCTTCTATACCACAGTATCCCCAGACCAAGGACAGCCTTTGGGCTTGCTGGGGTGGGGCTATACAAAGAAAGCACCCGGCAGGACCCTGCACCCAGGGAAGTGTCTAAGGTAGTGGACACAGAAAGGACATTTAGAAGTTGGAACAGGTGGACCCTCCATGGCTCGTTGCATAGAGTGGCTGACCTTGTGGTGAAACCCCCAGGGACCCAACGCTTTGTGAGAGGCTTTTGGAGAAAGTGAGGGGACCCATTAAAAGGAGAGGTAGCTTAGTGGTGGAGGGGTGGAGCTAGAAGGTTCGTGAAGTAAGTCTGGCAGGAGTATGGGTGCATCTGCACATTCCATCCCCAACGGGGAACCAGCGCCTTTGATTTACCGACAAACAGCATCCTGTAGATGACCCAGAAGGACTAGGAAACCCCAGCAGAGATGGGATGGGCCCGTACCTGGGTCCAGGGACCAGCAGGTGGCAGTCTTGTTGGGGAAGCAGACCTTGCTGGTGGAGTAGATTCTGCTCATGTTGTTTAGCAGGGAGTTGTACTGCCAATTTGGAGTTGAGGAACTATTAGTAAGCAAACTTTGGCCCCTGGAGTTAATCTGCCCACCCACCTCCCTTGGCTGGGAGGAAAAAGTGGCCTGGAGAGGGGATGTGACTCAGACAAGGTCACTCAGCAACCCTCGGCTCCTCCAATTGCCACTGCAATTGTGGAGGCAGCCTTTGCAAGTGCAACTGACCAGAGAGCCAGGGATCTGAGACAAACACCAGCTTGGTACCAGCCCACAGTGAGGGTGAATTCCTGCTATTCTCCAGCCTTGGGGTGGTCTGTCTTCCCAACCTTTCTAATGAAGCCCATATACCAAGTCTGTCTAGAGAGAAATTTACTGGTGACTTTGTGTGTGTGTGTGTGTGTGAGAGAGAGAGACAGAGAGAGACAGAGAGAGAGAGACAGAGAGACAGAGAGAGAGACAGAGAGAGAGACAGAGACAGAGAGAGATAGAGAGAGACAGAGAGAGAAACATCTCTCTTTGCATGTGTAATGTAATTTTGGGTATTAAAGTCTCACACATGCTAGTCTGGTAATTCAACTACATTCCAGCTCATGAATTTGACTTTCTACTTCATAAAATAAAGTAACTGTCACATCACACATCTAGAGGGAAAACCTGTGTTCCTAGCAGCTGTCTGTTTCCCTCCAGATTCCTTACAGCCCTTCCTGTCTTCCAGGCTGCTTTCCCAACCACCACAATAGGGCACTTGGGGCACTCAAGTTTCCACCCTCAGGCCTACCTGCTGCCGCCCGGCCAAGGGCAGGTTGGCAGGTCCTAGGGTGCGTATAGTTTCAATGGCCCTTCGCAGCTTTGAGTCAGTGAAGTTCTGCCAGATGGGGTCATACAGCTCCTTGGCCTTCTTGCCCCAGACCTCTGTAAACTCCTGCTTGATGAGTTCTGTTTCCTCCTGTGGTCACCAGGAGGGTGGGTGGAAAGAGTGGTCCAGCTCAGACAGAGGCCATGTAGGAGAGGCTCCAAGTACTGAGAGCTAGGAAAGTGAAGGGCTTCCAGACCCCTTGGTCCTGCAGAGATTCTGTCCGGGAGATGTGCTTGCAGAGGCACACCCCTCCTCCTGAGCCCTCTGGTTGGGAACTCTGGGAATCTGACTCACGGGAACAATGAAGGAGAAAATTGGGGCCAGAATAAGGGGGCAGTGAGTGGAAGGCCAGGAAAGGAACCTCAACAGGAGGCTGGGCAGCGGCCAGAGAGCAAGGAGCCGAGCAGGGCACCCTATATGCCGACCACTGCTGCCCCGACCACGGCTGCCCCAGCCCTGGACGCCTGCGCGCTGAGAGGATTTGGCCTTGGAGGAGCCAGCTTCATTCCATTCCATTCCTGTGTTGGCATGGATCACGTGCCCAACCCGTACAGGAGCATCACCGCCTGTCTGATGCGCAGGGAGGGTGGGAGTGTCTGGCCGGTGGCAGGGGACCCACTACTAGGGACCTCACTGCTCAGGGCTGAGGCTGGGGGCCCCCTGGTGCCTGCTGCCCGCCCCGGGCGCCTGACTGCAGGCCTGTGATTGGCCGCTGCGCCCTGCCGTGCCCCGCCCCCGCCCGGGCCCCGGGCGCCCACCTGGAGCCGCTCATTCTCCTCGGTGATGTTGGTGTAGTATGCCCAGCTGGCTGCCATGTTCTGGAACATCACCTGCTCGGCACTCGAACTGTAGCTCTCCACGAAGAGCTGCGCTCCTGCCTCATCCGCGGGAAAGTTGCCTGGCTGCAATTCAGGGTCGAGCGCCGCGGTGGGTGACAGCAGTAGCAGCTGCAGCAGCAGCAGCAGCCGCCGCCACAGCCACCACCGCAGCAAGAGAGGCGACGGCGGCCCCTGTCCCCGCTGGCCGGACGCGGCCCCCATAGCGCGGTGCGCGCGGTGCGGCGCTGCCCCTTCTCCCGTGCCGCGACCGCCCTGCGGATTATAAAACCCAGCCACCGCCGCCTCCCGACACACCCCCACCTCCCCGCCCCTCCGCGCTTCCTCCTCGGCTCCAAAGTCCCCGGCGACGCGGGCCCAGCTGAGCGGGGGGCCCGGGAGAGTCCCCAGCCGGCCCCGGGCAGGGGCGCCCAGACCCGGAGGGGTCCAGGAGCAGCCTGGGTGGAGAGATGGTCGGGCTCTTGCAGAGGAAGCTAGAAAGAGGTCCCTGGCCCCCGCAAACACACTGCCGACGCCCGGCCGTGCCCTCTGGCTGCCACCACGTATTCTCAGGCTATAGGGCCCAGCCGGCTCTGACTTCTCAAGGCTTCCCGGCTTAACCCTCCAAGCCTTTCCGGGCTCTTGAGCGACAAAGGGGCAGGAGGCAGGGCTGGCTGGCTGGCTGGTGCCATGGGGGATGATGGACTTGAGGCTGCCAGGTCCTGGAAGAAAGGGGTCGCTCGCCTGGGTGCCAGACAGGCGCCTTGGGTCGGTGCTGCAGATGTCAGCAGCCAGTTCACCTTGGGCTTGGGGTGAGGGACGTCTCGAAATAGCAGAAGAACTGAGGGTCTGTTCTGTTCTACGAGGGGGAGCCATGGAGTGGGCCACAAGCGCTGGCAGTCCTGCCCCCTACCCTTTGGCTACACAGCCGACAGTCGGTGGCATTTCGGCTCACAAGAACCATCATGCATTGTCCCAACGGAGCCCTAAACTTCACAGCCGCACGATGTGAGAGCTACTAAGTGCCTTAGAGATTAGAACAACCCCCTGCTTTTTAAAAACGGAGACATTACCAGAGACGGATTGGCTTCAAGTCACCTCAGGTCTCCACACTCCCAGTCATTTCTCTGTCTCCTCCACCTGCCCCTCAAAGTGACACACGCATGGAGGAAGGAGGATCACAGCCTCTCGAGGCACTAGGAGGCTGTGAAGGCCAACCCCTCAGCACCAGGGCTGTGCCCCCAAAGAGGTGGGAAGACCTTTATCCCTGGTAGATGTGGTGATGGCGTTCATACAGGAGACGGTGTGACCTGGAGACTCGGTGAGATTGTGCCAGCCTGCCAGGTGACGTGCTAGAGGAGAGACCCCAGAGGACTGACAGAGACGGAGAGAGAAGGTGGCGGGCAAGGGGCCACCTGGTGAGAACTGGGTGCGTATTTCCCACCGGTGAGCTGCTGTCTTCTCGGGGAAGCAGCCTGAACTGATGGAGGCCTGGGAGGGGGATTCTGAGGGTGGTACCTATGGGAGTCAGAAGGGGAGGCTGGGTAGACCCAGGTAAGAGTCTGGGGCTGAGCCTGTGCTCAGAGCTCTTCTGTCTTTTCTGTGGGAAACGGAACTGAAAGCAAGAAGGAGAGAGGAAGACAGGGTGGGGCTGGAGGCCCAGCTTGTCTCCGAAGAGTTCCTGAGTCCCTGAGTCCCCGGGCCAGGAGAGTGGAAGAACAGGCAGTTGGCTCTGCTGGCTCATTCTCAGGCCCAGCTGTGTGGCAACGTGACAACGTGACATCGTCTATAGTCGTGGGTTAGGGGCTGAGGAGTGAGGAGCTGTGCCTTACAGAAAGACGACAAAGTCAAAGGTTAATTACTGTTATCAGGGACAGGTTGGAGTCATCACCCTCCCTCTCCCCCTGGGTGACATTTTATTAAGAGCTGGTTGAAACACAGCTTCCCCTACTACACCATACTTTCCAGGAGGGTAGAGACGAGGTCAGTCTGCCTTCTTCTCTGTGGCTTTCCCAGAACTTAGCACATACCTGTTACAGAGAGGGAGGCATGGAGATGTGAGGAAGGAATGGCCAGCGTCCATGTTCACACCTCTGGGTGGAAGCTCCAGTACCCACAAGAGTAATCTATGAAGAGCCAAACCTCACCAATTTGGAACTTACGGTAATACAGACATTGCAACCTTGATATCCTGAAAAGTAAAAGTTAAAAATAGCTTTCTCTATTTTTAGGGTCTTACTCATGAGGGAGAGGAGAAATAAAAATATACCTTACATTTGTCTGGCATGTTGGATGTTTCTATACCCTTAATGTGTGAATGGTATAATTTGACATTTATGATGACCTTGAGGTAGGGTAATTTGCCATTTATGATAACCTTGAGAGCTAGGGAAGAGGGAAGGTCCTCTACTGCCAGCTCCCTCCCCAGCTGCCACTGAAACTGTGGAGGAGGCTCCCAATCCAGCAGGAAGATTGAATCAGGGTGGGGCCAGGAGGAGCCCTGAAGATCCGCCTGTGGAAGTACAGCCTGCTTGTTCAGGCAAGCTCTCATCTTTTAGATTCTTCCCAGTTACTAGTAACCACAGATAGAGGAAAATTAGCCCCTAAAGATGTCGTCAACAAACCTAAGCATTGGTGGCACACTCCTGTAATCCCTGCACTTGGGAAACAGAGGCAGGAGAACCAAAACTTGGAAGTCAGCCTAGACTACATGAGTTCCAGGTCCATCTTGAGCTATATAGGGAGTCCCTTCTTCAAAAAAAAAATAATAATAATGTGACAAAATCAATAGTAGAGGGGCTAGAGAGATGGCTCAGTGGTTGAGAGCACTTGCTGCCCATGCAGAGACCCTAGGTTCCCAGTACACACATTGGGTGACTCCCAATGCCTGTAACTCCAGCTTCTGGCGGGGGGGGGGGGGGGGGGGGGGGGGGGGGGGGGGGGGGGGGGGGGGGTGGTGGGGTGTCTAATGCCCTCTTCAGGCCTCTGTAGGTACTGCATGCATGTGGTGCACACACATACACTCCTATACATTAAAAAAGAAGAATAGAATTGGGAACTCAAAAATAAAACCTTACATTTATTTCTATTGCTTTTGTTGTCACTGTTTTGCAACATAACCCAATAAGCCATTTTAATGTCACTTGAGGGAGATGCAGGGTGATTTTGCCAACCAACCCTGGTTATCAGTTTGCTTCTTATAAAAAAGATTATATTCTTTTACAATAGGGGTTAGCCTTTGATTTTTCAGTAAGGTACAGCTTCAAACTAAGAGCAATTCTGCTCCCTCTATCCCCTAACTGCTAGGAGAATAGGTGTGTACAAACTACTATTCAGCTGTTCAACTGATTGTTTTTGTTTTTGAGCACTGAGAAGGTGGAGGTAATATCCCTGTGAGTTTGAGACTAGCCTGATTGTCATAGAGAGATGAGAAATCCAGGAAAACCAGGACTAAATAGACCCTGTTTCAAAACAAAGCTGTGTGTGCGTGTGTGTGTGCGTGTGCGTGTGCGTGTGTGTGTGTGTGTGTGTGCGCGCGCGCGCGTGCATAAATACCGGATCTCAGGAGCTGAGAAGGAAAGCCTGTGTTCGGCATACATCATACTGTTTATATAAACAGTTTAGGAGCAACAAGCCCTGTTCAACTGATTTGCGTGTGTGGTGTACGTAGATGTAGCTGTAGTGTGTGTGCCATGCACATAGAGGCCTGTGGCCAGTGTCCGCTGTTTCTCAATTGATCTCTACCTTATCTTTTGAGACAGCGTCTCTCACTGAACCTACTGCTCGATTTGGCTAGACGGGCTGGCCAGCAAGCCCAGGAATCTTCCTGTCTCTGCCTTCCCAGCTCTGGGCTCCTGCTGCTATGCCTGGCTTTCCACACAGGTGCTAGGGTCCAAACTCAGCTCCTCTTACCTACATGGCAAGCACTTTTCTGACTGAGCCATCTCCCAGGCCCCTCCATCGAGTTTTTGAGGAGGATGCCAGGATAACTAAATGCAAGGGTAGGGGAATTATTTTTTTCTAAGACAGATGGATTGAGATCTTGAGGCCAGCCTCAAGCTAGACTACACAGAGAACAGTAAAAGTAGACATAAAAATGTTAGCAAGAATATAGAGAAATTAGAAAATTATAATCCTTATATATTGTTGGAAAGATAGTAAAATGGGGTGGAGAAACACAAACAACACACACACACACACACACACAGAGAGAGAGAGAGAGAGAGAGAGAGAGAGAGAGAGAGAGAGAGAGAGAGAGGAGAGAGAGAGAGCAGGAAGGATTGGAAACTGCCCATACGAAAGTTGTGCTGAAATGTTAACGGCAGTATATTTTATTCATAACTCCAAAACATTGGAAACAATCCCAATGTCAGCCAATTAATGAAAGGATAATCAAAATGTATTCACACGATGCAGTATTCATTCCTCCAAGAAAGGAATGAAGTGCTGATACATGCTACAACATGAACGAAACCTGAAACACTATGCTAAGTGAAAACAAAAAAACAAAAAACAAAACAAAACAAAAAAAACAGTCACAAGACTGTACGGGAATCTGTGTACGTGAGCCGTCCAGAATAAGCAATCACTGAGCAGAAAGCCGGTTAGTGGTTTCCATGCCTGGGACAGGACGGCAGAGAGGCTGCCAAAGGGTATAGATTTTCTTTAAGGATGATGAAAGCGTGCTGAAATTGGTAATAATGGTCGCACAACTCTGTAAATGGAAAGGCCACTCTATATACTTTAAGAGGGGAAATCTTATGATATGTGAATTCTATCTTGGTAAACTGTTAATTAAAGAAAAATGCCCAGAGTGGGGATATTGAAGAACACTTACCTACCATGTGCAAGGCCCTGGGTTCCATCTCCAGGATTATCATCCTACACCAAAGTCCAAAGGTTTAATTATAGCATCATGTGCTCATCAAGAAATCTGACCAGTGATTGGTTTTGACTCGCAGAGTGCATGCATACTCCCCCTTTCTTAGTCCAAACCTGCCACCCCTCAAGACCCAGCTCAGGTACTGCCTCTACCAGGGAGTAGCCCTTGATTCCCTGTCCCATATGGGCCCCTCCTTCTAATGTATTCCATATCAGCTGTTGTCTATAGCACTGGGATTGAACAAAGGGCCCTGTGTTCTACCACTGGACTATACTCCTATCCCTCTTTATGGCTTTTTTTTTTTTTGAGAGAGAGTGAGAGAGAGAGAGAGAGAGAGAGAGAGAGAGAGAGAGAGAGAACCTGGTAGGCAGGCAGGCAGGTAGACTGACAGACTAACTTGCCACATTGTCCATGCTGGCCTCCAAATCGCAATTCTGCCTTAACCTCTGTAGCAGTTGGTACTATAGGCTGTAGCACCATACCCTGCCAGTGGCTGCACCCTTACACGGGCACTATTGTGTGACTGTTTGGGGAGTTTATTTCTCCTCACATCAGATAGAAAGGACAAAGACAGACCAAAGACACAGTTCTACCGGAGTCCAGTTTCAGGAGCCAATGGATGTTTTGGGAGCACTTACAGGAGCCTGGAGAACTTGTGGGCAGCTACAGCACCAGTCTCCTGTCAACAGTTATTAACTACTTCTATCCCTGGGAGGGGAGGGGCCTCCCGAGCCTTCTTGGTGTTCTAACCCCTTCCATGAGGCTAACCCCTAATGGGCACAATTGTGTGAACATCTGATGAGGCTGATCACTGCCTCTGTGACTCAAGAGAGCAATGACTATCTCCAGCCTTGAGGAAACAGCCTAACAACACTCACCTCAAAGAAGGGTGAGGCAGCAGCCTCAGACAGAGTAGGAAAAGCCAGGACCGCGCACTCACACACACCTTAGGACCTTAGCCCAGCACCCAGTTTGAGCCTCTGCTTCCCATGTGTGCAGTGATGGTGATAGTGTTTACCCATCCTCTCTTTCAGGCTTGTGGGAAGATGGATGCAGGTCCTTCATCAGTTGTACAGCACCTCACAGAACCATCATGTTTGAAAGGGTGGTCTGGCATGTGCCAGCAATCCCAGCACTCAGGAGGCAGACGCAGGATTGAAAAACAACACCAAAATATTATTAATATTGTCAAAAGTATCCATGGATGACCCTCCCCTGCATGATGGTGAGCTGGGAGAAGACTGGTGTCTTTAACATAAAAACTGGGGTGAAGAAGAAACTGGTCCTCCAGGGCACTGGGTTGAAGGTTGGTTTCTGTAGTAGGTGGTAGGGAGGAAGGTGGCTATTGCCAGCTAGAAGGGACAGGCAAAGTGGCTTAATCCCAAGGAAAGCGGGGTTTAGCCTCAGTGGATCAGAGGTTAGGGTCCCCAGATTAGAAAATTGGAGCCAATCGGGTATGGTAGAACATGCCTTTAATCCCAGTCTCTGAAGGTCACAAAACTCACTATTTTGGGTTTTGTTGTTGTTTAGGTGAAAGCAGTGTTGGGGAGCGACCCTAGGACCTCGTGCCCAGTAGGCAAGCACTCTAGCGTTGAGCCCTACTCACTATTCTCACTACCTCAAAACCATCTACAGTTACTGGGGTCACAAGCGTCCGATTGTGCTCTTCTAGCCTAAAGACAGAGCAGCTTGTCCTGACAGCGCCAGCGGGCCATCGGATCCCGCGTCCGGGTGCCCGGAGGATTCCTCCCGCATTTCTGAACATGGTCTGGCAGTGCCGAGCCGGCAGCAGCGTGGGGATGAGGATGCTGCGCCAAAAGTAGCCAAGGCAGACACTGACAGGTGGTCACGCGCCTGTGCCCGCCTGGAGTAGGGGGTGGGGCAAGTGCGGCTGCGCAGAAGAGCCTCCTTTTGGGACGTCAGGTTGAAACCTCTATAGCATGCGTCAGGAATGGGAGACAGGCTTTCACTCTTCAGATGCCTAATTAATGGGGTGTGTGTACATGACATGTAATGCATGTGAAAGCTAAGAAACGTGATAGAAATGTAACACACACCACACTACCATACATCCGTCCATCTTTCCCATCCTTCATTTCGAGCGCCCCCCCACTACCGTGCCATGTGTGCGCACATGCGTGAGCGCGCATGCGTGTGCGCATGTGTGTGTCGTGGAGTCGGTTCTTTCCTGCCGTCTTTATGTAGGGTCCCGGGATGAAACTCCGGTCCTTGCGTTTGTATGGGAAGCTTTTTTTTTCCAAGCCGAACTATTTCACCTGCCGCTGAACGCTTCTATTCCCGGTGCCAGAGTAGCGCTGAGTGGAAACAGCCCAAAGGTACAATGGCTGGGGATAAAAGAACACAATGTGCTGTATCCGCACATGAGATATTATCTGATAATAATAAAAAAAGAAACTGATACATATCAGGGCTCAGAAAACAAAAGACCGCTGGACATGTGACTCATGTCTGTAATCCCAACACTTGGGGAGGCAAAGCCAGAATTGCCACAGTTTGAGGTCTCCCTGGCCTCAAGAATGAGACACTATCTCCAAAACAAAACACAAGCTGGGCGTGGTGGCGCACATCTTTAGTCCCAGCATTCTGGAGGCAGAGCCAGGCGGATCTCTGTGAGTTCAAAGCCAGCCTGGTCTACAGAGTGAGTTCCAGGACAGCCAGGGCTATGTAGAGAGACCCTGTCTAATAACACACTATGGCATACTGGTGCTGGGGATGAAGCCCTTGCCTAGCAGGAGGGGAAGGTGGGGGGCAGCAGGGAGGGATTGCTAAATTTTATGTATTTATAGCCCTGCATGGTGTGAGCTCAGGGACAGCCAGGACTACACAGAGAAACCCTGTCTCAAAAAACAAAACAAAACAAGAAATAAACAACAACAACAACAACAAAAAAGAGTTCAAGGTTGTCTTTGTCTATATAATCTGTTGGAAGCCAGTCTAGGATCCTGGGATGTGTGAAACCCTGTCTAAAAGAAAAGTACAAAAGGACATCTAAATTCTCACTATTTATCAAGTAGACAGGGTATAGCTGTGTGGGAAGCTCAAATTGACCGTGAACTTGTGATCTTCCTTCCTCGACCTCTCCAGAGCTGGGATTACGGGCGTGTGTACCCAACCTACCTAAGTCTTTCTTTAGATTCCCACAGTTCAGAGCATCTCATGACCTGTCACTTTTGTAATACCCTCCCAAGTTTTAGTTCTATAATAAGTAGCATGTCATGCGTCATTAACTAACGTAGGTCTCATGATGGGCAGTAAAGTGATCTGAAACTCGGGAACCACTGCTGGCTCTGGCTAGGAGACACAGGACACAGGCGACCAGGACCCAGCTCCATGCACAGCCCTCCAGGAGCCTCCTTCTCTCCTCACCAAAGCCCTTTGCGGCCCTGGGCTGCTTTTCCTCTCATTGCTCAGGCCTTTGAAAAAACCCTTTGTTTTCACTGCTTCACATCCTGTCTCTCAAACTGACTGGCCTGCGTCAGGCCCTTCATTCCAGGGATTCGGGATCCAGCAGGCGGAGGGAGGGTAGGCGTCCCACACCACTCTCCGATGCCATTGTCCGGCTTTCCTTGTCGTTTAGGGGATATTTATTCTCTTGTTGCTACTGAGGCTAAACATCCTGTCAAGTTTATGAAGCACAAACTTAGTGTTTCTTACTCTTACACATTCTTGCTTGTTTCTTTTGCCTGTTTAACTAGATTAAATTAATTGCATGTAGCCCCAGTTGGCCTGGACCTCCATAAGTAGATGAGGCTGGTCTTGAACTCACAGAGATCTGCCTACCTCTGTGTTCCAAGTGCTGGGGTTAGAGGTGTGCACCACCATGCCCAGAGAGTATATTGATTTTTAAAGAGACCGTTCAACACAATGGATTTTCCTAGAGCACTAGCCTAACACTTCCCCTTCCCATTGCCCTTCCCGGCTGCTCCACCTTCCACAGCCCCTTCCACTCTCATAAGTACCCAGGACCCTCGCCGCCGCCGCTGCCCGCTGCCGCCACCACCACCATCTCACCATCATTACCACAGCCACCACCACCACCACCGCTGCCTTAAGATCATTTTTTTTCCACTCTCATGCTTCCCTTCTAGTTTCATCACACTCCACCCCTACCCCCACCCCTACCCACACCCCCACCCCTACCCACACCTCCACTCCTACCCATGCCCCACCCCTACCCACACCCCACCCCTACCCACACACACTCCACCCCTACCCACACCCCACCCCTACCCACACCTCCACTCCTACCCATGCCCCACCCCACCCATACCCCACCCCTACCCACACACACTCCACCCCTACCCACACACACTCCACCCCTACCCACACACACTCCACCCCTACCCACACATACCTCACCTCTACCTCCACACACTATGTGAATTCTTTCTCTTTCGTTTGTTTTTGTTTTCCTGGGGGTTAAACACCCCAGGACCTCCTGCCCGCTGGGCAAATGCTCTATCTACCACACCCCAGGGCAGAGCCCCTTAGGGATGGTGTTGATGCTGTCCGAAGTCAGCCGTGTTTGGGCAGCCTGGTCTCACTGTGACAACCTGCAGTGGTGAAAAGCTTCAAGTCTTTTTCACGTGAAGAATCACTGGTTTGGTCTGCCGCTATCACTCAGTGGTAGAGCTCTTGCCCAGATTTAATTCTCAACACCACAAATAAATAAACATTTCTAGTTCCCTCACCACACAAAGACTGCCAGGTTCAGTCTTATTGCTTCACTCATTACTATTATTATTATTGATTGATTGATTGATTTTTTTTTTTCCAGTGCTGGGCATGGACCCCAGGGCCTTGTATATGCTAAGCAGGTAGGTACTCTACCACCAAGTTACATTCCAAAGCAGTTCTTTTCTTTCTTTTTCTTTCATTATGATGCTTTCTGGGAGGTTGCTTTAGAGGCCCACGTTGGCCTACAGCTCGAGATTCTCCTGCCTCAGCCTCCAGAGTGCTGGGATTACAGTACTGAGTGCAGTATTACCACCATGCCTGGCTCTAATTCTGTCTCTTGTTTTGAGATGGAGACTCAGGTAGCCCAGGCTAGCCTGGGCATGTGTGTGGAACTCAGAATGTTCCTGCTTCCTCCTCCCAGTCCTAGCACCGTGGTGGGTGTGTGTATCTGCCCTGTTTTCTGAGACATTCCTTTCCTCTCTTACTTGAGTATTCCCTCCAGTTTTAGGTCAGATATAAACTTAATGAGTAAGACATTGCTTTTAAAAATGGTTGAGTTAGTATTTAATAGGTAGAGTTTTAATCTTGGAGAAGAATCCTGTGATCGGATGGTGGTGATGGTTGTACTACATTAAGAATGTGTTTCTTCTTTCTCTCTGGCAATGTAGAACTCACTACATAGACCAGGCTGGCCTCGAATTTACAGAGATCCCCCTACCTCCCAAATGCTGGGATTAAAGGGGTACACCACCATACCAGGCAAGAATGTATTTCTCAAACTGAACAGTGGTGGTGCACACCTTCAATCCCAGCACTCAGGAGGCAGAGGCAGGAGGATCTCTGTGCGTTTAAGGCCAGCCTGGGCTACAGATCGAGTTCCAGGACAGCCAGGGCTACACAGGGAAACTCTGTCTTGAAAAACCAAAAAAAGAAAAAAGAATGTATTTCTTACGGTGCCCTGTACATTTAAATGCTACAGAGGGTGGTGCAGTGGTTAACGGCAGCACTTGCTGCCCAGCCTGACAGCCTGGCATCTCTTTGGGCACCACATGGTGGAAGGAGAGAGCCAATTCCCACAGATGTCCTCTGACCTGTGTATACACACGATAGTAATAATAATTTTTTAAAAGAAATTAAAAACAGTAAAGAGGTTGAGTGCAGGCCCACATCTACAATACCAGCGTTCGGGAGGCTGAGGCGAGGACTGCCACAGGTTCAAGGCTGTCCTGGATCACATAGACAGCTCCTTAAAATAAAAACAAACCAGAAGCCTCGGGAAAATAAACAATTCGAAAGTTGACATGCTGCCGAACAGCCCTGGAGCCGTTCAGTGTGTCCAGCCCCGTCTCTAGACTTCCAGGCAGCAAAAGGGAGCTGGGCATCTTCCTGCCAGCCTGGGAGGCAGCCTGGCTCTGCCGCAGCTTCGAACAGCGCCGGTGTATCTTGGCCTCCCAGGCCAGGAACATATGAGTAATCTGTGACTCACATCTGTCCTTCCTCTCTTGCCTAATCTGGCCTGGTCTTCTTCGGAACCACCTCCCACTTTCCTTCACTCCTTCCTTGGCACGTTTCCAGCGGGATCCAGGAAACACAGGCCCTGTGCTGGTGATCGGCGACACAGTGGGGACAGCCCTGAGCATGGGCAGCCTGGCCTCACCTGCACAGACCCACCGGGGTTGACCCGAGGTGGTTCCTGAAGAGCTTGAAATCCATCAGTGTTGTGACCTAGGGGAGACTCACATTTCAGCAGAGAGTTGTGGCCAGGGCGTTGTGGTGGGGGTCGGGGTGGGAGCAGGGGTGGGGTGGGGGTACAGGGGAGGAGGATGTCAGGTGACTGAAGAGTCACCCAGTGCTCTGCATGAAGGGACCAGGGAGTGATAGATAGACTAGCTGGGAAGAAAGGCAGGCTGAGCTTCCCGGCTAAGGAGGGTGGATGTCCCCTCTCCGGACACATCATTTTCCCTCCTTATCTCCAGAGCAGGGAGAGCAGGGAACCGGCAAGAGTGGAGGCCCCGAGATCAGAGGCTGTGACTCAGTAGAACTGTGCGCTTGAGGCTGGTCCGCGGGTGACTCCCTAGACGTCCAGGTTGAAGGGAGGAAGGGGAAGAGAGGAAAGGAAGTGCCCCTCACAGAGGGAACGTGCTCAGACCAGCTTAGGCGAGGGCTTGGAAACAGGCAGAGGGAGGTCTGGTTTGGGAGGCGGGTCTGCTGGGCCTTTGCTGGGAAGAGAAATGACCGCACTAAGGTATCTCACCCTGCAGCTGCCATGGACTCCAGTGGTCTGGTCTCCTTCCCACAACCACAAGGGCCTTTGACCTTTTCCTGTTCTCTGCATGCTGATGGTCAGACTTCCATTCCAGAGAACTTGCTAGGAGGCATTCAGCCCTCTCCGAGAGCCCGGGAAGCGGCTACCAGGGCCTTCTCTAAAGCTAGACCTGTGCTGGCCTCCTTCCTCAGTTTACCAATATCGACGCCCTCCACCCAGGGCGCTGCAGGGATGTGGAGAGCAACTTGACCACCCTGTCTCCCTCGGCGTTTGAGCCCTTCACCTATTTCCACTAAGGCACTGGGGTGTTAGCTGAATGAGCCGTACAGGGGTGGAGCCCAGCACGGCGGGACAGGGGCGCCAAGAGAACAGCGGCATGGCCTGATCTTTCTCCTCCCCACAAACTTTGAGGACGTCCCGTCTAGGTGTAGATGGTGCCGAGGATCACGCTCTTGCCTTGTTGAGTTTGGTATGCAGCATAGGCTGGCCTCAAGTTGGCAGTCTTCCTGCCTGGGGATGCACGGGTGTGCCCATGCCCAGCCGAGTTTCCTACTCTTTCTGTTACTGTTTCTTCGCAAACTGCATTGGGTATTGTTACTGTTTAATCGTAAATCTTAAACCTATTTCTTCCTGCTTTGCCGCTAGAAAGTCAAAGTTCCTTCTGCTGCTGTCCTTAGGTGAACAGGGACAGGATGGCAGCTCCCTATTGGTCCTGTGGGGCCCTCCCCACTGCCCACCCTCACCCCAGCACCCGGCATAACAAACTGGCAGGAATGAAGGTTTACTAAGAAGACACCCCTGTGCCCTTCCCTTGGTGGCCAGATACTGAACTAGATCCCGGGGAACTGGAGTCCTCCTGGGAGCCCCATATCGGCCGAAGCCTGGTGCCAGCCGGAGGGCAGAGCTCACCTCTTCACAAGATTCCACACGGCACGGTTCTGTCCGAAGACCTTGCAGGAGAGGCTGGAGGGGTCACACTGAATAAATCTTTTTTCTGTTCTTCATCGTTCACCACCCTCCCGCTGTGTGTGGGGGGGGATGGTGGTGGTGGTGTGGCGTGGTGTGGAGTGGTGTGGCGTGGTGTGGTGTGGTGTGGCGTGGTGTGGCGTGGCGTGGCGTGGTGTGTGCATGTGGAAGCCAGAGGTCAACACCAGGTGTCTTTTCTCAATGGTGTTTAACTGGAAGCTGAGCCTCCTGTTTTGCCTCTGGTGATGGAATTCCAAGTGAGCCACAGCTGTGCCTGGCTTGCTTTCATTTGCCTGCCTGCTTCCCTCCTTCCCTTCCCTTTCCTTCTTTCCTTCCTTCCTTCCTTCCTTCCTTCCTTCCTTCCTTCCTTCCTTCCTTCCTTCCTTCCTTCCTCCCTCCCTCCCTCCCTTCCTTCTTTCCTTCGTTT